AAAATCAGATAAAAATTGTGACCCCTATAGGGTCCACAACCTTGATATACCATATTCTTACGCTATTTGGGAACGAATGGCGGCCATTTTGTCTGTCAATTTTGGGCCGATTTTCACGAAATTCGAACTCAGTTATCCTTAGGGTGTAACGGTGATATAATAGAACGGTTTTTAAATCGGATAAAAATTATGACTTCTATAGGGTCCACAAGCTAAAAACGTGATTTTTCGTACAACAGGGGCCATAATTCAGGAAGTTACGGTCCGATATGCACGAATATCGAAAGGAACCGAGATCTTTGGGTTATAAACTTACATTTCAAGTTTCAACAAAATCGGATAAAAATTGTAACCCCTATAGGGTCCACATTACGCTATTTGGGAAAGAACGGCGGCCATTTTGTCTGTCAATTTTGGGCCGATTTTCACGAAATTTGAACTCAGTCATCCTTAGGGTGTAACGGTGATATAATAGAACGTTTTTTTAAATCGGATAAAAATTATGACTTCTATAGGGTCCACAAGCTAAAAACGTGATTTTTCGTACAATCAGGGGCCATAATTCAGGAAGTTACTGTCCGATATGCGCAAATATCGACAGGAACTGAGATCTTTGGGTTATAAACTTACATTTCAAGTTTCAACAAAATCGGATAAAAATTGTGACCTCTATAGGGTCCACAAGCTAAAAACGTGATTTTTCGTACAAACAGGGGCCATAATCCATAAAGTTTCGATCCGATACATGCCAATATCGAAAGCAGTCGAGATCTTTTGGGGATAAACCTATATTTCAAGTTTCGTCGAAATCGGATAAGAATTGTGACCTGTAGAGAGTCCACAAACAATTGTGGACGGACGGACGGACGTCCGGACGGACAGGGGCGACGGCATAATACGTGCACATGAAAATGTGGGCGTATAAAAATTGTGACCTCTATAGGGTCCACAACCTTGATATACCATATTTTTACGCTATTTGAAAACGTACGGCGGCCATTTTGTCTGTCAGTTTGGGGCTGATTTTCACGACATGGGAACTCAACCGTCCTTAGGGTTTAACGGTGATATAATAATACGTCTTTTTAAATCGGATAAAAATGATGACTCTATAGGGTCCACAAGCCAAAAAACGCGTTTTTGCGTACAATAAGGGGCCATAATTCAAGAAGTTACGGTCCGATATGCGCGAATATCGAAAGGAACCGAGATCTTTGGGTTATAAACTTACATTTCAAGTTTCAACAAAATCGGATAGAAATTGTGACCTCTACATTGTTCACAAGCCAAAAACGTGATTTTTCGTACAATCAGGGGCCATAATCCATGAAGTTATGGTCCGATAGATGCCAATATCGAAAGGAACCGAGATCTTAGGGTGATAAACCTATATTTCAAGTTTCATTGAAATCGGATAAAAATTGTGACCTGTAGACTGTTCAATTGTGCACGGACGGACAGGGGCGACGACAATATACTTCCACTTGAAAATGTGGGCGTATAAAAATTGTGACCTCTAGAGGCTCCACAACTGTGTTAATTTTTTAATATAATTGAGTCACTAGTGTAAATTTTATTGTGCTATCGGCTTATTTTCCTTTTCCTTGCCCACCCCTCCCCACAAGAAACCAGTGGCTGTCAGGCAGGATACACCCACATTTTGCAAGAGATGGATAGAGAACAAGCTAAAAACAAATGGGATTTTTTGTACAATCAGGGGCAATAATACAGAATGTTATCGTCTGAAATGCGAAAATATCAAAAGGGACTGAGATCTTTGGGATATAAAGATATGTTTTAAGTTTCATCAGAATCGGATAAAAATTGTGACCTCTAGAGGGTTCACAAATGTGTTAATTTTTTAATATAATTGAGTCACTAGTGTAAATTTTATTGTGCTATGGGCTTATATTCCTTTTCCTTGCCCACCCCTCCCCACAAGAAACCAGCGGCTGCCAGGCAGGAAACGCCCACATTTTGCAAGAGATTGATAGAGAACAAGCTAAAAATAAACAGGAGTTTTTGTACAATCAGGGGCAATAATCAAGAAAGTTATGGTCTGAAATGCGCAAATATCCAAAGGGACTGAGATCTTTGGGATATAAAGCTATGTTTTAAGCTTCATCAGAATCAGATAAAAATTGTGACCTCTAGAGGATCCACAACCTTTGTATTGCATACTTTTACTCAATTTGCGTACAAAGAGCGGCCATTTTGTGGGGCAGTTTCATTTCGATTTTCCCGAAATTCGAATTCAACCTTCATTATGGTGGAATGGTGAAATATTTAAATGGTTTTAAAAATTGGAAAAAAAAATTGCGACCTCTAGAGAATTTGCAAGCTAAAAATGAGATTTTTGGAACAATTAGGAGCCATAATCTAGGAAGTTACGTTCGGATATACGCGATTATCAAATGGACCCAAGATCTTAGTGTGTAATGGTGATATATTCACATGTTTTTTTTTTAAAATCGGATAAAAATTGTGACCTCTACATGGACGGCAAGCTAAAAATGTGATTGTTTGAACATTCAAGGGCCATAATTCAGGAAGTTACGATCCGATACGTGCGAATATCGATAGGAGCCAAGATCTTTGGGTTATCAACATGTATTTCAACTCACATCAAAATCGGAAAAAATTGTGACCTCTAGAGGGTACACAAGCTTGATATACCAGATGCTATACACTATTTGCGTACGAAGGGTGGCCATTTTGTCCGGAAGGTTTGGCCAGATTTTCACAAAATTCAAACTCAATAAACATTACGGAGTAACAGTGATATATTCGAACGTTTAATTTTGTATGTTATTCAAACAAACAAAATGAAAAAAAACCACAAACAATTCTAAAATATTATCATAAATAAAAATATATTTGTTCTTATTAAGATCTTTACAATTCAAAAATTGGAATAAAAATAACACAAATTTATATAATTGCATAACAGATTTGGAAACAACAATTAAGAAGAAAGGAATTTGATGTACATAATTAATAGTTCACACCTACACATATAAATCTATCTATCACCCACTAATTATTTACTTCAACCACATCAAATAATACACTATATGCACGTAAATTTGCTTGGTCATTACATAAAGCATAAATGCAGTCTTAATAAACTAAGCATGCCCTACGTAAGCTACACTACCAACATATAATAAAAAGTGGGAACAATAGTAAAAAATCTTTTATATCTAAATTTGCTTGGTATGTCTCAGTCATAACCAAAATATTGAACAACTTCTTGTTTCAAAGGACCGACTTTTGAGCAACGAACAAAATAGTTATGTCCCTTGACTTTTTTTTTTAATCTGAAAATTCATCAGTTTGTATTTACAATAGAATAAAGCTTGAGGCAAGTTCCCTTTTAAATGAATATTGTCTACATATTTAAAGATATATTAATAAAAAAAAGCCTAGATTAACAAAAGATATTGTAGTTTCTTTTTTACATAATGGTGTGACTTGTCATAAAACTATATCTTTTAGCAAGGTGTAACTTATCTTATTAAAGCATTAACTTTTAAAATAAACAAACAAATCTAATTAAAATATTAAACTTTATAATAAATGAACATATACAGATCTAATTAAAGTATTAAACTTTATAACTAACAGATCTAATTGAAGTATTAAACTTTATAATACACTAACAGATCTAATTGAAGTATTAAACTTTACAATAAACTGACACATCTAATTCAAGTATTAAACTTTATAATTGATCTGATTAATGTATTAAAGTTTATAATAAACTAAATAGTTAAACTTTAATATCGTAACTGAAATATTAAATCATAAGAGATCTAAATGAATTATCAAAAAATAACAGATCTAACTAAAGTATCAAATCGGAACAGATCTATTTCAAGTATGACCAGATCCTTATCTTTATATATCAAATCATAACTGAACTAATTCCAGTATTATCAGATCTTTATTAAGTCACAGTTTCATTCAAATTATAACAGATTTGTTCCAAATTATGACACATCTGTATTGAATTATATCAGATGCATACAAATTAACAACAGATCTGCATCAAATTATAACACAAAATTAATATCAAGTAATAAACAGATCTAAATTCATATACTAGACTAATATCAACGGATCTTGTTCAGAAAATAACAGATCATTACCAAATCATGATCAGATCTAATTGTGTTGTTAGCCAGTCTAATTAAATTTCCTTTTTATGTGGAGTATAGTTACACTACAGTAAGATCTAACAACATCTCTAAAAAAAAATTTGTGTTCAAATGATCTGTCTTGGCTCCTCATTAAGGAAATCAAAACATTATTTTCCTTTGTCAATAATGATTTCAATCCATCAGCAAGTATGGAAATAAGGCACCTGTCACATACACTGTGATTTGTCTTTTTCTGAATTGTTAGGGGTACTAAGTTCAATATGTCCAGTACTAATTTAGTAAACTGTTATTCCCAGGCCATTTTTTTTTATCAGGCTTAGAAGAGGCAAGTGGTAGAGAAATAGTTAGTTATAACCTAAGTTGACACGAAGTAAAGATCTAATATTAAATAGATTGTGGTATTGTCAAATCTTACAGATCTAATGCAAGTATTATTAGATCATTATCAAATTAGATCTTACATAAATCTTATCCCATTATTTCATATAATATAAAACAGAACCAGTTTATTATTATTATCTCTCTCGATATCTTACCCTAAATACACATTGTCTATGAATTAAGGAACCAGAGAGCCCATATAAACAAAACAATTCTTCCAAATTATTAGTTTATAAATATATATATAAATATTCAAAATATCTTGATAAATATACAACAATGTACGAAGATGATGTGAATTGCATGTCTAATCTTTCATACAAAATATACAAATCATTTACATTTGTACAAAATTATGTATGTACATTGTATAGTAGAGGACACAGATCATCACTGAATATTAAACTTGAAATTTAAGCAATGTGAAAAAGATAATTTCACTAACACATCCGGGGGGGGGGGGGGGGGGGGGGGGAATATTTAATGTTGAGGAAAAGTGTGCATAATTTGTTTTTTACTATGGATTCGGTGGGATATTAAGAAACTACATCCAGTCAGAAGACTTTATTTCTAGTTTGAAATCACACTGGAACACCACAATAAGGCAGTTCACTATAGGACAGGTTTCAGTTGAGGAAAAGTGTGCATAACTTGTTTTTTACTATGGATTCGGTGGGATATTTAGAAACTACATCCAGTCAGAAGACTTTATTTCTAGTTTGAAATCACACTGGAACACCACAATAAGGCAGTTCACTATAGGACAGGTTTCAGTACAATCCAAAGCAGCCAAACTTCCTTTAGCTTGTCAGTGGTGTGGGACTGAGTGCTCTAGGTAGACAATACAATCAGGTTTAACCTCCTACATTTCTACACCAACTGGGGTAAATGAAGACAGACATATGGTATACAGTTTACTACAAGTGAATCTTTAGCCCAGTTTCCAAGTCCTGTTTAATTTGCCCTCATAGCACACTGCATAACATTTGGCTGTCTTCATTAGCCCTGTCAGTACAGAAAGGTAGAACATGTAACCCCATTTCAATTTTGTATTTCACCAGTACTACACCAGTGATTTCATATTAATACTCATAGAACCATATTTATAGCTAAAGGTCACTGTGGAGTACCAGTGTATTCATACACAACCTCATTATTCACACTTGTACAAAGATGTGCGTGATTCTTAATCCTGTGTAATAATGGTGGTTTAACTTGTTTCTTTTTAATAATGTAATTCAGGGTCTCAATCAGATTTTTTCGATCAGGAAAGATAACTATTGATGACATGTCGTGTATTTTCAAACATAAATTAAATATCTAAATTTTTTCATACGTTGACTGTGGTTTACATCCACTTATAACAAAAACTACGCCATCCTGAAATTAAACAGAGAAAATGAATCAAGGTCAGATAACATGTATTTGATAAAATCAGACTAAAATATATAGGGCTTACAGCAAAACAAGAAATTCCTGTATATTTGCAAAATATCAAAGTGGGAAGACTTATGCTGTATGTGGTTTCTGGTTGTTCAGAAAAGCCCTCAATAATCTGATACACATTCAATAGTTTGATAGAGATCAAATATACAAGGTGAGAAAATAAACATTATATTTATTGTATTGTGCCTAAAATTGTAACAACATTTGGACACAACTTAGATGATACTTATCACTTTCTTCTGTTATGTCCTTTCTGATACAGTTTTGAAATTAAAGAAGCTAAATTGCTAATATTTGGGACCTAGAAATTGACACAAATGTGTTGCAAAGCATATAATAATGTAATATGAATGTATATAAACTGATTTACATTCAATCGTTTCTGCTTTTACTGTAATTTCTAATCAGTTATGTTCGGCGAAATACACCAGAAGTCTCAATCAAATGGCAATCTCTAGCATTTCATTATTCCTGTCTACACCAATAGTATATATTGCATATGCTCTCCAGATAAGAATATGATGTCACCGTTTGACATGACTTGTGGAATATGTCTAGCCTCATTCTTCAAGTCCTTTGTCACAAATGGCGCTGAAACGCATTTGGTAACATGTTTATTTTGTCTTAAATATTGGATATCAGAAGCCCATCTTTTCTCGGTAAGATTTCAACATCGATGTTGATTTAAATTGACAAATAATTTGTGTTTTCAATGTTGAAGACTTGGGATGATATTGAGTTAATGTAATTTTAAAGTGCACCAACTGTAGTTCAGCCACAGGGATTGGATTTCTAATTCAACCAGAAAGAAATTAAATGGAGGATTTAGATTTACTTCTATGACACTCAAAATGGTCTAATTGTTCACACATGTACTAAACATTCTACACAATCATGTCAATGACTTTGGGATCTCATTTAAAAATTAGTAGTTAGTGAATAAAATTGAAAGTTTAAGTTAACAGTGATTTTCATTTTCTATCATTTAAACCGAAGACAGCCAACAAAAGGGGTTCTAGAGAGAGAAACGTGGTTTAATATAAATATCCACTCAAAACAAACATTCAATTTGGGCACTACCATTTATTCACATTGCAATAAATTGTTTCTTCGTGGATGGAAGCCGGACTGGGAATGAAAACAACAAGATTGTATGATCTAAAATGCATTGAACTACACATCTCGATGTAACTTACCAGTTTATCAAACGAGTTGTTACCCTGTTGTTCCTCCTTAAAATAAGAAAAAGTGAGAACTTACCCTTACTAATAATGGAAGATCTTTCCAGAATGGATAATTTGGTACTAATTCAACACCTTGAGCCTTTCGTACATATTTCAAAAATAAAATTCCTCCAATCCAATAAATAGCCAAGAATACAAAAAACCTAGAATAAAAATAAATACTCAGATGTAAAAAGAGACAATGGGTGTGGCTGTAGATATTCAAATGACTTTAGTTCAGTAACAACAAGTTGGTCAAAACTGCACTTTCAAATAATAATGTTATTTTTCTCAAGTGTACATCCAGAAAATTGATTGCATTATTTGAATTCTAAAAATAAAGATTCATTATGGGAGATTAGATACAGAGCTGGCAGTTCTCACTATAATAGTTAAAAAAATAGATAATGTAAAGAAAATTTACTAAAAATTTCAGTCCAATTGATCCACCCTGAACCAAGTATTTAGGGCCTAGCCTCGATCATCATTACTAAAGTCGGTACGATAAATAACATAGTCTCGATTATCCAGCAACAAACCAGGTTCTAATCCAGTAAATATCACAGGCTAGCGATGAAATCGAGAGTTGATTATGGTCTGGATAAGTTAATTAATGTCTAATTAATAATTTAGATAACATTTCAGGTCTAAAGAAAGACCTGCAAATCAAAGAGTAAACAAAATGTGGTTAAAATCAATCTGAACTGAGATGAAATGGGGTTTAACATCAAGGTAGTGTCCTATGAGTTAAATTTTGAGTCTAAGTCTTCATCAAATTCCAACTGCCAATGGTTCCTCTATGTGCACATAACAAGTAACAGGTGGACCAATGAAAAGAGGATTAAAAATACATTATTCAAGGGCTAAATTTGCCTATTGCAGGTCTTTCTTTAGGCCTTAAATCTTACATAAATTATTTAATGGACATTTAGACATTCATTAACCTTACAAAACCACAATCAACTCTCGATGCCATCTGATGCTTGAGATTTTAACTGAATTAAAACTGTTCGGCCATTTAATGATTTAAAAATGGAGGAGCGAGTCAAGTCTTGAATATAGCACAGCTTGTAAAACTACAAACAATGATAACTTGGCTCAGAATAAAGTACTCTAAATGAAATTTTCCATATATTCATTTTGCATTATCTATTTTTGAACTATTATTGCAAGAACGAACTGGCCTTTATCTAAATCTTACCATAATGTATCTTTAGACACTCCTTCCAGCTCCGGTGACAACGGAAACTGCCCTTAAAAATTCAGAGGAACTTTATCTGCCAACATTGGGGAGAGGGGGGAACCCAAGACCTGGTTATCGAGCCAGCATCTAACCCACTGAGTCACTGCAGCTTCCTGTATTGTACGACCTTATGCTAATTCTAAAGTTCAATTCAACTATTCAAGTGACTTTAACAGTTTAGGGTGGCCTAGTTTCTGACAATTCCAGGCTGTTCAGGGATATACCAATGTGAAATAATCATCTTTCTCTTATTTCTTTAAGGAACTGGGGGTAGTCAATATATATATATACTAATACGTTACTAAGCGCTTAGAGCAGTAGTTTCAGGCAATATGATTAAAACACAGATCCTATTTCATTTCGTTTTTTATAGTTCAAAATTCTGTTTTACTTGTCTTTACTATACTAGAATCTGGAAGAGTTGTTATATAAAATATAACCCGCGTTCTGATTGATGTGTAGGATTCGCCAAAGAAACGGTCTGTTACGGCGAGTTCTTGGGTAAACCACTAGAAATGTCAATTGATTGATTAATCAATGTTTGATGTCATAGTGTCAAGAGCCGCTAGTATGAACCCTGATGCAATCTTTCACCTTTACTGGTCAGATCTTCAAGTAGTGGAGGCCATCAAAAGTTAAGAAAAACGAAACGAACTATAGTTCTGTATTTTAATCAGATTGAGTTTTGGGTTGTATTCTTCAATATTACCACAATAGTTCCGAACAGTCTTACATATTCTACAAACAACTTTTTAAAATATAGGTTGCCAGGCAACGAAACATATACCACAACAGCTAAATCGTCCGGGCAGTCAACATGAGTTGTCGCATATTTTTACTTTTGTTGATAATGAAAAATCTGATAAAGAGTAACAACTCATAAAGTAAATATCAGAAAATCATTAGAATTTGTTTGGTCCATGCTAACGTTTAGTATACAAAACATTTAATACCTTGGATTTAGCTGTTCAAGTTACCAAAAATCAATGAAAATAAATATACTTGTCCGTCTGAAGACCTTAAACTCTGTGTATTAATCTAAAGTCAATTGAAACGATTATATATAGGCATAAACACAGTGTATAAATATAAAATCAATCAGATGTTAACTATGGTCTTCAAAGCATCCACAAGATTTTTCAAAGTGATCAAGGGCCATAACTCTGGCAGTAACTATCGGAAATCGTTGAAAATCAATAGGTTTCTTCGTGAGATGACCTTAAACACTGAGTATAAATTTAAGGTCAATCAGATATTAACGTTAGCCTCTGGAGCGTCCACAAGATTTTTCAAAGTGATCAAGGGCCATAACTCTGGCAGTAAATATCGTTGAAAATCAATAGGCTTCTTCGTCACATGACCTTAAATACTGTGTATAAATCTAAGGTCAATCGGATGTTAACTTTAGCCTCTAGAGCGTCCACAAGATTTTTCAAAGTGATCAACTCTGGCAGTAATTATTGGAAATCGGTGAAAATCAAAAGGCTTCTTCGTCTCATGACCTTAAACACTGTGCTGTGTATAAATTTAAAGTCAATCAGATATTAACTTTAGCCTCTAGAGCGTCCACAAGATTTTTCAAAGTGATCAAGGGCCATAACTCTGAAAATCAATAGGCTTCTTCGACTCATGACCTTAAACACTGTGTATAAATTTAAAGTCAATCGAATATTAACTTTAGCCGGACAGGGGCGACAACAATATACGACCACATTTCAATGTGGGCATTTAAAAATAAAGTTTTTAATAGTTGATTTATAGGGTTCAGAGGAAACTAACAAGGTTGGGCATGTGTTGCTACTCCTTGTCACATACAAGCTTGGAATAGAACCCTGACCACTTTACCCAATGACAGACCTTATGGGCTAAAGCAGCCACCAAACCCTCTCAAAGAACAAAGTAGAGAGTAAACTTACAATATTACTAATATGGAACCAGTGCTTAGACCTGACGAACTAGATGGACATCTTTCCTCACAGACAATGTCTGTTTCAAGTGTAAAAGGCTGGAATAAGACAAGAACATATTAAAGATTTCTGAAAAATATTGAGCGCCATGGAAAACACATCACTTTTTTTCCCCAAATATTTTATTACTAGGTGGTTTTGTATGTATAATATTATGCAATACTATGAACTATTGTTTCACACAATGCTCCCAAACGCAAAAAATATCCGCCCGTGTGCACAAAAAAAAATCTGCACGAGATGCACATGAAAAACCCAATATTCACGTGCAGCATTGTGTGTGAGCCCTTTCAAAGCATGTTTTCAACTTAGTGTGCAGTACATGAACTGTGAAACGTCAATCTGTCGCAATTTGTTGTTCGACGTATGAAGGAATCGAGCTAGAGATGCCGAGACTTACTGAAAATCAACAGAATGAAGCCATGGGAATGTCCAGGGCTGGCATGTCTACACGTGCTATTGCCAGACACTTCAATTGTCATCAGTCCACTATTGTAAGGTTGGTGGAACATGTTCGAGATACTGGATCAACACGTGACCGTCTACGTCCTGGTCCACAACACGTTACAATCCAGGCTCAAGACCGCTACATACGGGTCACTCATCTGCGTGACAGATTCCGCCCAGCGACTCGAACAGGTGCAGCAGTCGTCGGAAGACAAGGACCAGTAAGTGCCAACACCGTAAGACTCTGTGCACGACGACTTTATGTTGGAGCTATCCTCAGGGATCATCACCGTCAGCGGCTCAAGGACACCAGACATGGAGAAGAAAAGACTGGCAAAGTGTGCTCTTCAGTGATGAAATTCGCTTTCATCTTTATCACGCTGATGACCGTGTGGAGACGTCTTGGGGAACGTCTTGCAGACTGCTGCGTCTTCGAAACGAATCAATGGGGTGGGGGAAGTGTAATGGTGTGGGGAGGCTTCACATTTCATCACCGGACCACCCTACACATTTGCAGGGGTCGCGTTAATGCTGTAGCCTACCGTGATGATGGCCCGTGGAGGACATACGCGCTACTGACATCTGTGTCGTACTTTTGGTTTTGACCCCTCTGACTTTGTACCCTTGATTACAGATTAAATATCCATAAGTGTACAAATGTGTTGTTATTGATGTGTTCCCATTTGAATATTATTCACAATGAAAAGCAAAATAAATAAGATATATTTACAGGATCATTTTGTTATACGAAAAACTAAGTGATGCGTTTTCCATGGCGCTCAGTATACAAACACAATATATGCAATGCATACTAAGAATTATGTTAAATATAAAGGCAATGCAATGTTAAATCCTGTCTCATTATTATGCATTGAAGCAAAAGTATTAATTTTTCATTAATTAATTAATTAATTTCATATCATTGTAGTCCTTTTGTCATGTAAACTACTTTTTTTTTATTTAACCCGTTAAGTGCGTAGATCGTTATATAACGTCCTGGACAACTGCCACTCACTGTGTGTAGGGCGTAATATAACACCTTGGAGTTATTTTCCCCAACCTATTCTTAGAACATAGTACATAGTTCTTTGTCACTTCATCAAATTAATTACACAATAGGGGTTAGTTAACGTTTTAAAAACGTCACGCTTAACAGGTTAACTGACTTATAAGAAGGATGCATCAGCAGTAAACAAACTCTTTTTATTTCTTTGTCAAGAAACAATCGTTCTGTTTTGTTATTAAAACGTCTTTTTCTTAACGCAGAAATGAAAAGAGATCAAAAATGAAAAGAGTTTAGAATACTGCTAAGCTATCCTTGTAATATTATCACAAGAACATAGTTTTTGTGATGAATGGAAACCAATAATATGAAAAAATTTCTAAGAGAATATGATTTGTTTCCATCCAGGAAAATGACATATATGTTCTTTATTCGCCAATAACAAATAATGAAACAAGATTTAACTTAGCCTTGCCAAATATAATGTGTCAAATGAAATGAAATGTAACCCACTTTTCTGCACTGACTGGGCTAGAGAAGACAGGCTTAAGTAAACAGCGTGATATGAGGGAAATTTTGTCCAAACATCAGCGCTACAGTCTACTCTTATTTTGAACTCAACTGTCAAGGCTTCTTATTCATGCACGTTAATGTGTTGTGTACACGGTACCTCATTTTCTGTACCATCCAAAAGACTAGACATTGCCCTTGTCTTGCCCTTTGCCCTGCACCACTGACAAGAGGAAACCGCGCTAGTAAATCCTAAGGGACATTCTCAGCCAGCACCTCCTGGTTAGCGAGTCAGCGTCTTATAACTAATTTGACCGGGAGACGTGTTCGTCGACATCAATATTTAAACGTTTTTAAAATCGGAAAAAAAACCCTGTGACCTCTAGAGAATCCGCAAGCTAACAATGCAATTTTTCGAAGAATTAGGAGCCATAATCCAGTAAGTTACTTCGGATATACGCGATTATCAAAAGGAACCAAGATTTTAGTGTGTAATTGTGATATATTCACATGTTTTTTTTAAATCGGATAAAAATTGTGACCTCTACATGGACGGCAAGCTAAAAACGTGATGTTTTGTATATTCATGGGCCATAATTCAGGATGTTACGATCCGATACGCGCGAATATCGGAAGAAACCATGATCTTTAGGTTATAAACATGTATTTCAACTCTCATCAAAATCGGATCAAAATTGTGACCTCTAGAGGGTCCACAAGCTTGATATATCAGATGCTATACACTATTTGCTTACAAGAGGCGGCCATTTTGTCTGGCAGTTTTGGCCCGATTTTCACAAAATTCGAACTCGATAAACATTACGGTGTAACAGTGATATATTCAAATGTTTTTTTTAAATCGGATAATAATCGTGACCTCTAGAGGGACCGCAAGCTAAAAACTTGATTTTTCATACAATCAGGGGCCATAATTCAGGAAGTTACTATCCGATATGCCTGAATATCGACAGGAACCAAAATCTTTGGGTTATAAACATGCATTTCAAGTTTCATCAGAATTAGATCAAAATTGTGACCTCTAGAGGGTCCACAACTTTGATACACCAGATATTTACACTAATTTTTACGAAATTCAAACTCAACCATCCTTAGGGTGTAACGGTGATATACTAGAACGTTTTTTTTTAAATTGGATACAAATTATGACCTCTATAGGTTCCATAAGATAAAAATGTGATTTTTCGTACAATTAGGGGTCATAATTCAAGAAGTTACGGTGCAATATGCGTGAATATCGAAAGGATCCAAGCTCTTTGGGTTATAAACTTACATTTCAAGATACAACAAAAGCTAAAAACGCGATTTTTCGTACAATCAGGGGTCATAATCCAATACATGCCAATATTAAAAGGAACCGAGATCTTAGGGAGATAAACCTATATTTCAAGTTTTGTTGAAATCGGATAAAAATTGTGACCTGTAGAGTGTCCACAAACGATTGTGGACGGACAGGGGCGACAACAATATACGTCCACATGAAAATGTGGGCGTATAAAAATCAAAAACGTCCATTTTCACTTTGCGAGTGAAAAGGGGCCGTCAGATAAGCCGCCCATATGAACTGTTTATGTTCATGTGTAGGCAATTGGCCTGTTATTAACATACACTGGTTACCTCTAATAAAAACAGCAGTGCATTTCCACAGTTTTGTATTGTTTCTGAATATCCTCTACTTTTTTTTGAAGAGTATATGTACATTGTATACAAATTAGATGAGGTTTCCAACAGGGGACATGATTTACTTACATATACAATAAGACCAGGAACATGTTTTTCTGCTTGAGCCGTGAGTTTTGCATCACTGCACTTTTTACACCTCACATTCACAACTGCTTGTCTATAATAAATATTATTGTAGCAAATCTTGAACAGAAGTAATATATAATACAAAGATTTCACAGCTGTAGATTCAATATAATTCATTTATTACTTTGACTGTGTAAGAATATCGTCTTAAAAACATCAAAAGAATGAAATGAAATGGGGTTTAACTTCCTTTTGTTCTGCTCTCACTGGGCTAATAAAGACAGCATATGCCCAGGAAATTTTGCCCGGACTGCGGCGCTACAGCTTAATCTTATATCCAATTCCAACTGCCAAGAGATTCTTTCACTCGGCAAACCTCAGCAGATTCCAGTACCCTACATCTAACTTCGGCTGTATGACGAAGTCCTTCATTGGAACTACTTTCAAGTTCCCGGATTTACCGACGGCGTCGCCCATGACGACGCCTTTGAAGAATGTTTTATCATACACATATTTCAAAGTCTGAAGCTGTTTTTCTTTCAAGTATATCTGATTTTCTCAAACAAGGACAACTTTGCACTGAAAAATTCTAAACACGCTTCGAACGACACAATTCTGATAACTTATTTTTAAAAGCGGCAAGTTTTCCTAATAAGTAATCTGGTGCCGCATTGCAATTGTATAGGCGTAGGTACATATCGCTTACCGTCATACAGCCGAGGCTAGATGTAGAGTAATGGAATCTGCCGAGGTTTGCCGAGTGGAGATTCTTTATGTGCACGCCTTGTTTTTTTGTACCATCGAAACGACTAGACAGCTGTCCTTGTCAGACACTCTGTCCTGACTTGTGATCTGTAACCAAGGATTAATTGCCACTAATTGATTCTTTGACCAGAAGTGGAATTTGATTAAATTTATGCTAATCAATGTTGAATATAATTTGCAATTCAAAACTTTCGAGTCACGAATTGCGATCCTACTAAAAAATTTCCAGTTATTAAACATATATTATGCAAGAGCTAAATCTGCCTATCGCAGGTCTTTCTTTAGGCCTGAAATGTTATCTAAATTACTAATTAGACATTAATGAACTTATCCAGACCACAACCAACTCTCGATATCATTGCTAGCCTGTGATATTTACTGGATTAGGATCCGATCTGCCGCTCAATGCTTATTCATGATTAAATTAAGAAATGGATAATCGAGAGATTATGTTTTTTATCGTACCGACTTTAGTAATGATGATTGAGGCTAGGCCCAAAATTCAATTGCTAAATTCTTGGTTCAGAGTGGATCAATTTGACTGAAATTATAGCACATAACCTTTTACATTGTCTAGTTTTTAATTATTATAGTGAGAACTGCCAGCTCTTTATCTAATCTCCCATAATGCATCTTTAAACTTACCTTGATGTTCCTTGATCAAGCACTGCACCATATGTTATTTTTAGTGTATCTAGATCAGGATCACCAGAATAGATAGGAGGTACTGTAGCCAGTTTGTAAAAGTTAGAACCAGCACTCTGACATACCTAAAAACATGGATGAAATGAATGAATGAAATATCGTTTTATGGCACCTCAAACTTGACCGTATATTGCACTAAATATGCGATGCATAATAATATGGGACTAACTAGTCACAATGTACATTTATATACATATATCTGATATATCACATCATTTACATTTGTATGTATATATTAAAAACAAAGAAGAGATTGTACAGTAAACTTCGCATAAGTCAGATCTACATGTAAGTGGACTGACCAATTTTATCCGAGTTAAGCGAAGATCTGAGTTAGCCAAAGACCAAAATTCAATCTTAGCTAGATTAGAAATAAACTGCAAGAGCCGGATAATAATTGATTCAAAGGCACATTTCAAGCTTTTGTTTGTATGTGCGAGTAGATAACTTCCGTTTTGGTGCAAGTAGATAACTTCCATTTTGTCGCCATCTTTGAAAAATGTCCCACATTTTCCCAGAAAGTGTCTCGTACAGTAGACAGTGAGTTTCGAATTTTCTGTGAAAATTCTATTATTGCGCCGCGTCAAATAGGCTGATTTGTATCAAAATGATAGAGGGAAGTATTTTTAGGCTCTGTGCATGGAATACCTAACTGTGTTTTAGACCATCGGGACAAAACTGACAGTAAAATTCTGAACATACTGCCGATCCGACTTAGACGAAGGAAAAACGCCGGAATTAGATCAAATGGACCAAACATTTTGATCCGAGTTGAGCAAAGATCCGACTTAGGAAATCCGACTTACGCGCAGAAATTTAATAAGAAAAACGTGCAGGATCAAAGGGTCCAAATGATTTTTTCCGAGTTGAGCGAAGATGCAACTTATACGAATCCGACTTATTCGAGGTTTACTGTATACAGGGATGCGGGTCAGTTCATCTCACAACCGTTTCACTCGGGCTGTTTCATCCCAACCTAATATTTTATCGGGCTGTTTCATCCCCCTTGTTATTATATACTATTCAAAAAAAGTAGGGGATATTTGATTTTTAAGTGTTATTAAAGTCACCTAATGAAACTGACGAAGAAACAAATGACAAAATGAAATGAAGTTCACATTCATCGATTTATTCCAAATGATCGTTAGACTAAGTAAGGCACAGACTGACCATTATAAGGGTAAAATGATACCCGGGGTCAAACAGCAAAGTTACCACAGCATCACAACCAAGTCAGTAACGGGTAAATCCTCCTCTGTTTGCCAAACAAGCATTGATCCGACGTGGCATACTCCTAATGAGACGTCTAAGGTCATTTTGGTCCAGATTGTCCCATTCCTGTTGCAACGCAGCAGCAAGTTCTTGGACATTGGCAGGACATTGTTGACGTTGACGTAACCTCTGTCCAAGCATGTCCCAGACATGCTCGATGGGGGAGAGGTCGGGACTCAGTGCTGGCCAAGGTAATGTGGTGATGTTCTGTTGTTGGAGGTAACCTGTAACGATCCTGGCCCTGTGACATCTTGCGTTGTCATCCTGGAAGATGAAACGGCGGCCATGACGTCATGCGAACGGCACAACATGGACTGCCAAGATGTTGTCCCGGTAGTACTGGCCTGTAACACGCCCTGCAACAACATGTAAAGCCGTTCTTCCAGCACAGTGATGCCTCCCCACACCATAACAGAACCACCCCCAAATCGATCATGTCTCATGACGTTAACGTCTTGGAAGCGCTCGTTTCGACGACGCCACACCCTCCTACGTCTGTCCAAAAAATCAACAGTGAACCTTGACTCATCTGAAAACATCACATTGCTCCAGCGTCGATTATCCCAGTGTTGACGATCCCTACACCAACGACGTCTTGCCTGAATGTGATGATCTCTCAAACAAGGGATCACGCGAGGACGTCGGGCGCGAAGGTGACCCCTATGCAGTCGATTCCGAATCGTCTGGCCACTCACTCTCACACCAGTGTCTGTTTGAAGACGAGCGCTGATCTGATTTGCTGTGATGACACGATTTCTCAAGGCCAAGGTACGGATAAATCGATCCTGGGCTTGAGTTGTCGCCCTTGGTCGACCTGAGCGTGGTCTGTCCTGTACAGATTGTGTATCACGGTATCTGGACCATAGCCTGCTTATGACAGACTGAGAAACATTCATCGTCCGCGCCACAAACGCTTGTGTTGTGCCGATCTGTAGCATGCCAAGGGCACTTAACCTTTCATTTTGGGTAAGCCGACGCATATCAAAATTTGTTTTCTGGTCACTAAAACAATTAAACTGATGTTTCCACCCTGGAATTCAATGCCACAATGACTGTAACATTCAAAGTCAGAGTCGTGCAAATCTTGGGTTGGACCCCCATGATGATCCCAAGCATCACCTGCATTCCATGCGGTAGCTATTGGTTCGTTTGGGCGTCACATGTAACTGGAAATGTTTCTTCTGTTAGGTTCTATAGTGACTTTTTTCGTAGTCATTTGCATATTTTAGTATTATGCCCCCAAAATCAAATATCCCCTACTTTTTTTGAATAGTATAATAGCAGCCAATTAACTGAGTTGTACTTATCGTTAAATAAACTGTTAAACACTTACTTTTTGTTAAATAAACAATAATGTATGGAATGAATAAGTTTTACTACTCGTCGATTTTTGTTGATTACCGATCGCGACCGATTAGGTCAGTTCACTGATGTTTTTGTAGTAAAGTATATCCGTATTGTTAGTTAATTGCCGTTATGATTGTTAGTTTATGATGTCTAACATCATTTAAACTATAATGAAATACAACATAATTTATTGGTAGAAAAGTCACTGATTGTTATACACCCGTAAATGAAATACCACATAATTTATTGGAAGAAAAGTCACTGATTGTTATTAATGTATGAATAAAATATTAAAAATAAGTAATACCTGTTTTTTAATTTGTGGGATGAAGCGACCCGATAAAAGTGGGATGAAACGACCCATGTAAATTTGGGATGAAACAGCCTGGATGAAACAGCCGGGGGTGAAATGGTCGTGGGATGAAATGACCTGCTCCCTGTATACATGTATATAAATTAAACATTCTATAAAAATGTCTCCATTAAAAAGTTCAGCACTTTACAAAATAACTCAACAGAAACTATATGTCATTGTAGTTTGTACATATTGTACATGTATGGCAGTAAATTTGTTACTAAGGTACCGGTACCTGAAATATTCTATATTTATATAGTAGTAGTGTTTAACAAATGCAAAGTATGGAAATACACCAACACAGCAGCTGTTTATCGAAAAAAAAAAAATTGCCATAGGGAGCAGCTTATCTACAAGGAAACTTGGTTACTCATTACCTTTGATAAAGCGTGTGATATGGAGAAAAATAACCTATTATGTTCAGAAGCTTGAAGTGGGAGGGTAACTCTGGATCAGAAGGTTACAAAGCCCTAAATATCAACCAGGTTCATCCTCCCATCTCATAACCCCAATGCTAGGGTGACCCATGCACTCTACAGAAATACAGTCCACCGCTGATGGTTCGAGACTACCACTGAAGCGTGCACATTCGCCGTGTCGAGACCAATTTTCTGACAGTATGATACTATAAATATAGGGTGGCCCATGCACCTACAGAAATACAGTCAACCGCTGATAGTTCGAGACTACCACTGAAGCATGCACATTCGCCGTGTCGAGGCCAACTTTCTGACAGTATGATACTATAAATAGCCATGGCACGTGCAATTCTCTACAAATCTATCAACTATTACAGCCGTAAAAAATTTATTGTTGACGATTTTGAATAGCAGTAAAATTAAGCTTCTTGGTTATTACAGCAGATTTAGAAATTACGTTCGTTTCATTTTTTAAATCGCTTTATCATTAACTGTACCGTTAAGAGCGGCATCTTTTGGTTTAGTACAAATACTATCTCTGAAACACTCGGGTTAGACAGGAACATGATACTAGCAGTAGTTTCATTTTACTTTTACAAGCTTCTTAAAACAATTGTTGAGCTAGCTAACGTGCTCATTTCTTAATTCAATTTCTTGTTCTAGCTTTCTGTTATGTTTCGTAAAAAAGTAGTCTTGATTATCCCGACCTGTCAATCAGCCTTAGATTGGTCGATAGACTGGTTAAGCGACTCTAATTTCAAAACAAGGGCACGTAACCTATCTTTTACTCAAAAGTGTCTGGATGTTATGGACAACACATGGAACCAGTTTTCAGTCTATTATTTATAGATGATTAATGGTCATAGCTTATTAAGTACAACATGAACGTTTATTTAGTGACTATAATTGTGTGAAACTGATTTGAGGCTTGGCATATATATAAATATTGTGGCGAAATTGTCGAGATATATGGAGATATTTATTTATGGTGGGTCACCCTAATAAATAGCCATGGCACGTGCAATTCTCTACAAATCTATCAACTATTACTGCCGTAAAAAATTTATTGTTGACGATTTTGAATAGCGGTAAAATTAAGCTTTTTGGTTATTACAGCAGATTTAGAAATTACGTTCGTTTTATTTTTTAAATCGCTTTATCATTTACTGTACCGTTAAGAGCGGCATCTTTTGGTTTAGTACAAATAATATCTCTGAATCACTCGGTTTAGACAGGAAGATGATACTAGCAGTAGTTTCATTTTACTTTTACAAGCTTCTTAAAACAATTGTTGAGCTAGCTAACGTGCTTATTTCTAAATTCAATTTCTTGTTCTAGCTTTCTGTTATGTTTCGTAAAAAAGTAGTCTTGATTATCCCGACCTGTCGATCAGATGTAAAATGGTCGATAGACTTGTTAAGCAAGACTAATTTCAAAACAAGGGCACGTAACCTATCTTTTACTCAAAAGTGTCTGGATGTTATGGACGACACTTGGAACCAGTTTTCAGTCTATTATTTATAGATGATTAATGGTCATAGCTTATTAAGTACAACATGATCGTTTATTTAGTGACTTTAATTGTGCGAAACTGATTTGAGGCTTGGCATATATATAAATATTGTGGCGTAATTGTCGAGATATTTGGAGATATTTATTCATGGTGGGTCACCCTACCAATGCTTCATTCCAAATTTGAAACAGTTATGTTAACCAGCGGCTGCCAGGCAGGATACGCCGACATTTTGCAAGAAACGGGTAGAGAACAAGCTAAAAACAAAAATGATTTTTTGTATGATTGTAAAGATGTTTTAAGTTTCATCAAGATCGGATAAAAATTGTGACCTCTAGAGTGTCCATAACCTTTGTATTACACACTTATACTCAATTTGAGTACAAAGAGTGGCCATTTTGTCAGGCAGTTTCATTTCGATTTTCCTGAAATTCCAATTCAATCTTCATTATGGTGGAATGGTGATATATCTAAACGGTTTTTAAAATCGGAAAAAAACTTGTGATCTCTAAAGAATCCACAAGCTAAAAATGTGATTTTTCGACCAATCATGGGCCATAATCTAGGAAGTTACGTTCGGATATGTGCGATTATCAAAAGGAACAAATATCTTTATGATAAAAACATATGTTTTAGGTTTCATACATATCGGATAAAAACTGTGGCCTCTACAGGGTCCACAACCTTGATATACCATATTTCACGAAATTCGAACTCAACCATCATTAGTGTATAACTGTGATATTTTCACAGGTTTTTTTTTAAATCGGATAAAAATTGTGACCTCTATAGGGACCACAAGCTCAAAACGTGATTTTTCGTACAATCAAAGGCCATAATTCAGGAAGTTATGATCCAATATGCGCGAAAATTGAAAGAAATCAAGAAATTTTGGTTATAAATATGCATTTCAAGTTTCACCAAAATCAAATCAAAATTGTGATCTCTAGAGGGTCCACAACCTTGATATACCAGATGTTTACACTATTTGAGTACAAGGGGCGGTCACTTTGTCGGACTTTTTTTTAAATCAGATAAAACTTGTAACCTCTAGAGGGACCACAAGCTAAAAGCTTGATTTTCCGTACAATCAGGGGCCATAATTCAGGAAAATATGATCCAATATGCGCAAATATCGAAAGGAACCAAGATCTTTGGGATATAAACATGCATTTCGGATGAAAATTGTGACCTCTAGAGGGGCCGCAACCTTGATATACCATATTTTACACTTTTTGCGTACAAGGAGCGGCCATTGTGTCTGGCAGTTTTGGTCCGATTTTCACTAAATTGAAACTCAACCATCAGTAGGCTGTAAAGGTGATATACTCAAACGTTTTTTTAAATCAGGTAAAAATTGTGACCTCTAGAGGGGACCATAAGCTAAAAATGTGATTTTTTTCGTACAATCAGGGGCCATAATTCAGGAAGTTACGATGCAATATGCGTGAATATTGAAAGGAAACAAGATATTTGGGTTATAAACATGCATTTCAAGTTTCATCAAAATCAGATCAAAATTGTGACCTCTAGAGTGTCCACAAGCTAAAATCGTGATTTTTCGTGCAATAAGGGGTCATAATCCATAAATTTATGGTCCGATACATACATGCCAATATAGAAAGGAACCTAGATCTTTGGGAGAGAGACCTATATTTCAAGTTTCATCAAAATCAGATAAAAATTGTGACAAAGGGGGGATAACTCCAGAAATAAAGCTCGGATAATGCAAAATACCAATAGGGTTTATCAACTGATGACAACAAAGTTTAACTACAAATTCTGAAAATTAATCGAGTCCACAAGATGTTCATCAAAGCAGGGAAACTCCAGAATCAGACCAACAATTGTGGAGGGTCAACAAATTTTTGTACATACATGTGATTTACATTTTGCGTAAATTTGCATATGAAGTTGCAGCCTGAAGGACACTCAAATTAAACTCATCCAAGATCTTTTGAACCTGAACATATATATGTTAAGTTTCGTATGAATCATCAGGATCCACTTAATATAAATACTAATAGTTCTATGCTGTGTTTTGATAATTTATCAGCCAGAATAAAGCTATTTCACAGAGCTGCCCACCATCTTCATGTCATGGAATTTGAGCAAGTATTTGTGACATAATTTGAAATTAAACTAACTCCTTTAAACATTCAGTCACCATAGAAACCAAGTTTCGAATTGTAATACTGATCACTGGTGATGGTGGAAACAAACAGAAACAGTGACTATAAGGATCTACATTTATAGGCAATCAGTATTCAAGCTTTTAAGTCATTTTTTTTTATTTTTATGAATAACCCAACAATGTACAATAATAAAAGTTTACAGTAAAATCTATTACCGTAGCGTCTTTACATGTGCCTTTTGTGAAAATTAAACATGGATTGTAGAAATAGTGATTTAAATGAACATCTGGAATATCACTAAACCTAAAATAAAAAAGAAAGTACACTTTAATTAGTTTTCATAAAATGTCACATACATGTTCAAGTAGCAAATGTAGAAACATTAAATTTTAAACTAACAAGAATACATTTACATGTAATGGGGTAGGTGATGTGTGGTAAAGAATTTGTAGAACCCTGATGAAATTCAACATTCATGGATCACAATTTATAGAGTTATGAAATCCTGTTTCAAATAAATACAGGACACTGTGCTATACAGAATTGTTCAAATTTCAACTCTTTTCAATTGTAAATCACAGAGTTCTCGTTCCGTGTACATTCCAGTTAATTATGAAATCTTGTGAGTTCTTCAGAAAACTTTGCGAGATGATTCGATTGCTAACACTTTAAATGCAATAAAGAAATGATTTATAATGGTAGTTATTGAAACATGATAATGTTATTTATAGGGGCATTAAATATAGTCTGGGCATTCAAATTCATTCAATCTTGTGAACATGAAACAAGGCAGACAATGCTTTACAAAATGTTTTAAAATTCAGGGAGATTGCTAATAATTGTAGCATGAATTTCACATGCCTTTTGCAGAGTTTTTCTGATTTTACTTTTAAAACTCAGTAGAGAGTTCAAAATAGAATTATTAAAATTTACTCTGTCGAAATTGTTGATGATTTACATGTGAGTTTTAGGACAGGCAACAGAGCTGACGCCTGATGGTATGTAGGGTCCTGACAAGCCCTTGTCTATATTTTAAACTAACCCATCTACTGTAAGTGAAATGAAACTTGAAATAAGTTTAATATTCCTCTATCTGGCAAAATTAATTAGGCTAATTATACAAACAATAAATTCATTACATTATAAATCAAAAAAATGAATTTATATGATTCATGTATTACATGTACCATCATGAATTGTTCAACAGATGTGGCTTATTTTCAGGGTTCATTGAATTTGAATAATTATTTCTTTGGAAAAGTTCAATTATGGCTAATTAATTCAATTCTTGATTGGCATTATTGCATCAATCAATAAAAACTATCCAACAGTGACTGAGGTTGATGTCCCGTGCTTCAATCCAAACATCAATATATGACACGCATCTTAATTAAAATTATTTGCACATTCATCTTTTTGTAATGTATCGAGCAATCAAAGTGCTTATCTGTACTTATTCGTAGCTGAAAATGCCCATGATCGAACCAAGTCAAGGTTTTGATGTAGCAAATTATACATCAAATTTCAACAATCTCCCTCAATTAGAAACAAAGAAATGTTATTCCAACGCACTGCTTACATGTATCTCTTCTTTGCCTATTACAAATTTTAAGCGTGCCAGGTACGGCACGCTTTGTTTTTTTGTAGTGTAAATGGGTCAAACATAAGCGTGTACATAAATAAAAGAATCTTTGACAGTTGGAATTTGGTGTAAGAAGAGTACTCTAAGAAACTCCTAAGGACGATCCACTACTGTGGCTGGAGCATTACAGAAGATGTCTATAGTGGAACCTTTTCTACGCTGTTACGCCCTATGGTGATATGCCCAGTCAGTGTAGAACAGTAATTCTCAACCATGCCCCATTCCATTTCTTTTTTTTTTTATATGGAGGCGGGCCAAAATTAAAATTCACTATCTTGGTACTAACGATATGTAGTTAATTTAGTAACGTACATGTATATTTTATCGGCTTCGCTCTATACTACATTACTGCCGCATGCTCTATACAACCAATATGGAAATAAGGCTTTTCCCCAATCTCGGTTCTAAGGCTATTTTGGAATCCTTACTGTCTATTTTTCATCGTGATTCTTCTTTGATCGCCAAAAGGAACCATTTCTTGCCACATCTGACATAAATTTATAAAGATAGGTTGCCAGGCAACGAAACATACGCCCACATGAGCTAAATCGTCCAGGCAGTCAACAAGTGTAGTCGCATATTTTTACTTTTTGCGGTAATGAAACATTTATAATACACTAAAATCGGATTAAGAGTAACAACTCATGAAGTAATTATCAGAAATCCATTAGAATTTGTTTGGTTTTCATAAAGTTCTGCCCCATGCTAACGTTTAGTATACGAAACTTTTAATACCATGGATTTAGCTATTCAAGTCATAAAAATTCATTGAAAATCAATATACTTGTTCGTTTCAAGATCTTAAACTCTGTGTATCAATCTGAAGTCAATCGAAAATCAATACGATTCTTCATCTCATGACCTCAAACACTGTGTATAAATTTAAAGTCAATCGGATATTAACTTTAGCCTCTAGAGCATTCACAAGATTTTTTGAAGTGATCAAGGGTCATAACTCTGGCAGTAATTATCGAAAATCGTTGAAAATGAAAAGACTTCTTCGTCTCATGACCTTAAACACCGTGTATAAATTTAAAGTCAATCGGATATTAACGAACGGACGGGGGCGACGACAATATACAACCAGATTTCAATGTGGGTGTATAAAAATCCAACACTATTTTTATGTAGAACTGTGGGATACAAAAACAAAGATAGGTTACCAGGCAACGAAACATACGCCAACAGCAGCTAAATCGTTCGAGCATTTGACAAGGGTTGTCCCATATTTATTCCTTTGTAGGTAATTGGGGGCCTTTACAAGACAGTTCCATACAGATCAGATTGTAATTTTTGTCGTTTGAGGGTTCACAAGGTTCTACAAACTGAAACAAGGGCCTCAACTCTGGAAGTAGTCTACAGAAATTGTTGAAATTTGACAGGCTTTTTCGTTTTACTAATTTAAATAATGTATATAAATTTCATACAGATAGGATGATCACTTACTGTGTATAAATATCAAGTCAATCGGATATTAACTTTAGCCTCTAGAACGTCCACAAGATTTTTCAAAGTGATCAAGGGCCATAACTCTAGTAGTAATTATCTGAAATCATTGAAAATCACTGGGCTGCTTCATCTCACGACCTTAAACACTGTGTATAAATCTGAAGTCAATCGAATTTTAACTTTAGCCACTAGAGCGTCCACAAGATATTTCAAAGTGATCAAGGGCCATAACTCTAGCAGTAATTATCGAAACAACTTTTTCCAGCATGACACCGCCCGTGCCCACACCGCCAGAGTTACTCAGGACTTTCTACAGCAGAACGGTGTCAACGTTATGCAGTGGCCAGCCCTTAGTCCGGACTTAAACCCGGGATGAAATTCAAAGACTTAATTTCACTTAATAACATCATACCGAGACCAAACACAGCCGATGGATTGCGCCAGGCTTTTTTGAGAGTGTGGTTCCAGGTGCCAGTGGCGTTCGGCAATCATCTGCTCCATGCCATGTACAGACGCTGCGCTGCTGTTATTGACACTTGCGGTGGACACACTGCAAATACTGATGTATAGACTGCACAGACTCTAAACCTTCTCGTATTGTCTTGGAATTGTGATGAATTCATCACTAATGTATCAACATACTGTTCACAAAAAATTGCTTTGATCCATTTAGTAAGTCGTTTTCTAGAATGATGTGATTAAAGTGTCTATCTGATTTTGAAATCATACTGATATTTTTTTTGCCGTTTAGTATATTCTATGTTATTCTCATGTACAGCACGAATTTTCGTTTACAGTAAAATTCCATTCCTAAATTTGGAATATTGGCTGAGCGTGAGTTTGATAATGGCGACCAATTCAAATGAAAGTTGTTTTTGTATCGAACAATCTACATGAAAATAGTGTTGGATTTTTATAAATTTGAGTTGGATGTGGCAAGAAATATATGATTCCTTTAGGCGATCAAAGAGAATCACGATGAAAAATAGAAGGTAATTATAAGAATTCAAAATAGCCTTAGAACCGAGATGGGGGAAAAGCCTTATTTTCATATTAGTTGTATAGAGCACGCGGCAGTAACATACATGTAGTACTAGTAGAGAGCGGAGCCGAGACAATGTATGTTACTAATTTTCTAAAGTAACTGTAACGATATGTAGCCTAGTTTATTTTAATTTATAGCAATTCTCGAACTCCCTTTTCTCCCCTCAGACTCAAGCTGAACTGAAGAGAGATTGAAGTAATATTTTCGACCTGCTTTATCTTTATTATTATTATTAAATATTCTGGGTTTATATTCGGGAATTATTGCATCAGATCAACACAACCTATACATTATTTTGACCTATATATCAAAGAGGTTTCACTCCTTCAAAATACGTCGAAATTGCGATTTGTAATTTTTGTCGTGCATACCACATTATAGTTCACGTGATAAGTCATAGTGGGTCAATGTTGTTATCACATGACACTATGACCAGCCTATAATGCAACCGTAAAATGCTTCCTAGAGCTAGCTGTATTAATATTACCTAGGTTCCCCAATTTTTAAACCAATGTCTCTAAAATTGACTTTTCTTTTCGCTGTTTGGCAAACACAAGGATCTTGTTGGATTTTGCATTCATCTGACGAAATAAACTTTAGTAAAACATGCATCAACAGAAATCTGAACACATTTGATCCGTTCTTCGACATCTTTTCCGATCTACAGCTAACCCGGAAGTTTATAATTATTCGACCTCACTAGCCTCTGTTGATCCAGCCCGACAAAGCAACTTGAATATACCGGAATCGACGTAAACCGTCCGGATCCGTATCAGTACGTACTTACCGAAATAACTCTGATTGTATCCTCTTACAAACCAGTGGCTGCCAGGCAGGATACGCCCATATTTTGCAAGAGATGGATAGAGAACAAGCTAAAAACAAACGTGATTTTTTGTACAATCAGGGGCAATAATCCAGAAAGTTATGGCCTGAAATGTGCAAATATCAAAAGGGACGGAGATCTTTGGGATATAAAGATATGATTTAAGTTTCATCAGAATCAAACAAAAATTGGGACCTCAGGGTCGACAACCTTCGTATTGCATACTTTTACACTATTTGCGTATTATAAGCGGCCATTTTGTTGGGCAGTTTCATTTCGAATTTCCCGAAATTCGAATTCAGACTTCATTATGATGGAATGGTGAAATATTTAAACGGTTTTTAAAATTGGAAAAAAAAATTGTGACCTCTAGAGAATCCGCAAGCTAAAAAAGTCATTTTTAGAACCGCCGGGGGCCATAATCCAGGAAGTTCAGTTCGGGTATCCGTGATTATCAAAAGGATCCAAGATCTTAGTGTGTAATGGTGGCATATCAGATAAAAATTATGACCTTACAGGGACCACAAGCAAAAATCGTGATTTTTTGTTCAATCAAGGGCCATAATTCAGGAAGTTACGATCCGATATGCGCGAATATCGAAAAGAACCAATTCTTTGGGTTATATAAACTTACATTTCAAGTTTCATCAAAATCAGAAGAAAATTGTGACCTCTCGAGGGTTCACAACATTGATCTACCATATTTTTACGCTAATTGTGTACGAGGGTCGGCCAATTTGTCCGGCAGACTGCCGTCGGCAGTTTTGGTCCGATTTTCACGAAATTCGAACTGAACCTTCATTACAGTGCAACGGTGATATAAACAAACGTGTTTTTAAATCGGGTAATAATTGTGACCTCCAGAGGGACAACAAGCTAATAAAGGCGATTTTTCATACATTCAGGGGCCATAATTTTGGTCCGATTTCCACGAAATTCGAACTCAACCTTCCTTACGGGGTAACGGTGATATAATCAAACGGTTTTTTTTTAAATCGGATAATAATTGTTACCTCCAGAGGGACCACAAGCCAAAATAGGCCGATTTTCACGAAATTCGAACTCAGCCGTCCTTAGGGTGTAGCGGTGATATAATAATACCTTTTTTTAAAAATAGGATAAAAATTATGACCTCTTTAGGGCCCACAAATTAAAAACGCGATTTTCGGTACAATCAGGGGCCATAATTCAGGAAGTTACGGTCCGATTTGCGCGAATATCGAAATAGCGGATAAGAATTGTGGCCTGTAGAGTGTCCACAAACAAATTGTGAACGGACGTCCGGACGGACAGGGGCGACGACAATATACGTCCACATGAATATGTGGGCGTATAAAATGTAGGGGATATCGAAATGCATATACCTCTGCAGGTTATTATGATGTGATAAATAGTCATGGACACTTGACATCTTTGAGAGTCTGTTCACAGATGAAGAACTTATCGCCCCAACAGAACCACTGAGCTGCACTTGCGACACGCAATAGCGCCATACACGTGGGAGAGGTTCATTGTCAAATTTGACACTTCAAGAAGGGGTTAATGAAAACTGCCGCGTGCTCATGGTTTATCCTATCCATGATTGCTTTCCTATCGGTTCTTGCATAAGATTTACTGTTTAGCGTATCTTTGCTTTAGTGTGTTACGTTTAATTTGCAATGAGACGTCTTCAACATGATGAACGTCTACGTGCTATTGGCATGCTTCAAATGGGTTCTACACAGCGAGGAGTAGCTAACATGCATGTGACAGTCTGTGATCAGCAGACTGTGGAACCGGTACCAACAAATACAGAATGCTGATGATAGACCTCGTTCAGGTCGTCCTAGAGCCACTACACAAGCCCAGGATTGATACATTCGTACACAGGTCCTGCAAAATCGAGGACAAACGGCCAATCAGCTTTCTGTAAATTTGTACCAAGTTACAGGAATTCGAGTTTACACCCCAAACGATTAGAAATCGGCTACATGCAGCCCATTTGCATGTGCGACGACCGCGTGTTGTACCTCCATTAACTCGCCAGCACATGGTAAACAGGCGTCAATGGTGTAGGCAGCGTAGAAATTGGGGTAATCGTCGATGGGCGCATGTAATGTTCTCAGATGAGTCCAGATTTACTCTGGATTTCACCGATAGGCGTGCTCGCGTATGGAGGCGTGTAAATGAGCGTCATGTGGGGAGGAATCACCATGACTAGCAGAACGTACTTGCATATTGTTCAAGGAAGGGTCACTGGTGTGTACTACCGTGACCACATCCTGGTACCGATAGTTCTGCCCTTTGCTCAATGTGCAGGTCGACGTTTCATCTTTCAAGATGATAATGCCCGTGCCAACCGCGCTCGTGTCGTGAATGACTACCTCCAGCGTCACCACATTGTCCATATGCCTTGGCCAGCCATGAGTCCTGACCTTTCCCCTATAGAGCATGTCTGGGACATGATCGGGAGACGTGTTCGTCGACGTCAACCGACAACACTGCAAGAATTGGCCAAGGCGCTGCAAGAGGAGTGGGTCAGATTGCCCCAAATCGTGATTGGACGGTTGACTAGGAGCATGCCATTACGAATTGCTGAATGTCTGAGGATTGGTGGAGCAATTACTCATTATTAAAACAAAATTCAAAAGCATCCATTTTCACCTTTGACAGTGTATCTCTTTGCGAGTGAAATGGGGCCGTCATGTAAGCCGCCCATATGAACTGTTTATGTTCATGTGTAGGCAATTGGCCCGTTATTAACATACACTGGTTACCTCTAATAAAAACAGCAGTGCATTGTTTCTGAATATCCCCTACATTTTATTTTGAAAAGTATATAATAATACTGTAGACAATTTTCAATTTTAACGATGCTAGATTCACAACGTCCTAAACATGTAGGTGGTAAAATTCCTTACCGGCTGTTCCACTTTCACCCTAGGTCGAAGCGGACATAAAGTTTGGATATACGAAAATGATTCACAGTGTAAAGTAAAAAAAAGCAATTAGACCCACTGAATAAATACATTTACTTTTTCAACTTTTTGCAATCGGGGCGAGTTGGCAGTTTTATTTTATAGGTCTACTCTAATATGATAAATAATAATAATAATAATAATAATGGTTTATTACACAACTGTCTATGCTGTGGGCATTATTATTATTATTTTCGTAGGTGGAAGCAGATGTAAAAAGGGAGCCACGGTGGCCATGTAAGGAGTTGACTCGCTAGCCTGGAGGTCGCGTGCGCAAACCCTGCATTGGCCGAGAAAAGTTCATCGGGGTTTTCCGACGTGGTTTCCCCTTGTCAATGGTGCAGGACAGCTGTCTAGTCGTTCGGATGGACATAAATTGTGACTGACTGAAGTTAATGAAATGTTTTTTTTTCTCCCTTCAAATGATCAGATCACATCTGTGCATGATGTACGCCCAGAACAGTCATTGAATTCCACTCGATAAGGATTTTCTGACGTGGTTTTCTCTTGTCAGTGGTGCCGGACGGTCCCGTGTATACATTGACATGCACGTAAAAGATCCCCTGACCGGTGGAATTCGATATTAGAGTAGGCCATAGTGCCGCTGCCCGGGTAAAATTTCACTCATAGTACACTGTATGGCGTATGCCCGTATTCATTAGCACAGTTGCAGCAGGACAGTAGGACGTTAAACCAATTCCATTTCATTTTCATTTTTGCAGACGTAAAAAAAAAGGAAAAAGGAAATATGAATAATGTAAAATAGGATTTTTTTCAAAAATGCATATTCATTTTGAAACATTGCTATTTACCAAAGCAAGCTATTCAATTTCACTTCTCACTTTATCCATAAAAGAATAATTTCCAGCCCCGTATCTGATAAATTAAAAATTAAATTGAATAGCATGCACTAGGAAATAAGTTGCATTTTGTTGTTGCCTACCTTTCGGTTGTCGCAGAAGAAAAGTAAGACGTTAAACCCCATTTCATTTATTCATTCTTTCGGAGGGGACTGTTGCAATAGGTTTGGCAGTATGTCTACCTGTCCGTTTGTTTGTCACACCTTTTGGAACACAATAATTCCGCTTCTAATTGGGGTGGAGTACTCGGCGGTTCGAAATGTCTGGATGACATTTTCAGGTCAAGCTAGGCAGACCCAAGAGTGAAAAACAATTTGATTGGTCGAAACATGGGAAACGATAACCTTGATTCTAAATGAGTGAGACTGATAAAACTTGGTGTATAGTTTCTTTACATCAGAATACTGACCAAATTCGAAGAAAAGCAGAGCGATATAAAATAAGCGTGCGGTGTTCCTAAATGGGTAGTGAAATGAAATGAAATTAAATGGGGTTTAATGTCCTACTGTTCTGCTCCTAATGAAGACGGGCAACTGCCAAGTGTTCTTTCACGTGGACGCCATTGTATACACGGGACCTCCGTTTTTCGTCCCATTCGAACGACTAGACAGCTGCCCTTGTCAGCCCCCCCCCCCGCACTAATCCAGATGAACTTTCTCGGCCAATGCAAGGATCGAACACGCAACCTCCTGGCTAGCGAGCCAGCGTCTTACCCACTTAGCCAACGTGTCTCACCAAAGGGCAGTGATCAACCCGAATATATAGTATGGTGCAGTAACGGAATAGAAAATTCCAGGGTCGGAACATAAATAAGGAATTTAGAAGCAACAAATCTTCACTTGAAGATTATTTACGTCTGTCATTTTAGGTTTTTAATATATCGGGGAGGGGGGGGGGGTCTCCAAAAATTGTCCGAACTCTACATTGCTCTGTTACCGTTCATAGATGTTTATCTGAACGAACACTAATTGTCCCGCATAGATCGAACAATTTTTTCAACTACGTAACTTATAGGGCCAGCCTACCCGAG